TCTTAAATAAATTCTGTACTTTTATTAGCTTTTTCATTTTTACTGAATTCTTAACTAACACAGGGTTATAGTACAGTTTCAAGCTATAATGATCTTTCACATTGGAGACAGAATCATCATCAACTGCTAAACAAGCTTCGTGAGAAAACAGATTTCCTTGTTAAAAACAGATCTCAAGCCACTCCCCTAATGTCCTGGAATACAACATCTCCATCCTGGCTTCAGGAATGGGGAAGTGAGATTTGTACCCAAATCACGGAGTAACCCCTCTTATAAGATATTTTGTTTGTGTTCTGACAAATAAAATTTGCCTGGACATCTGAGGCACAGCTACCCTCTAGTTAGGCATAGAGACCATGTAGTGGTGGCACACATCTTTAATCCCAGCACTTGGGAAGAGGAAGCAGGAGATCAGGAGTACAAGGCCACTCTGGGCTACACAGGATTGACCAAGTCTAAAAGAGAAATAGAGACAGGTGGTGGTGGTGCATGCCTTTAATCTCAGCACTAAGGAGGTAAGAAATGAATGTAAGGCAAGTGGAGACAGGATATCAGCCCCATCAGTCTGAGGATTCATAGAGGTAAGAAGTCTAGTGGCTGTTCGTCTGCTTCTCTGATCTTTCAGCTTTCACCCTAATATCTGACTCTGAGATTTTATTTAATAAGACTAATTAGGATCACACTTCATACCCCATCCAGTGCTAGGACACCACTGAATTGTTATGCATGCCAGACTGTACCAGATAAAGCCATTCTATCCTGAGTGATAGCAGGTTACAAGTTCAGCAGCACCGCTGATGTGAACCAGGACTGAGTCCACATGAATATATGACTTTCCTTGGGTCTGTTATGTCACCCTGCAGGCACTTCTGCTGCTTTGACATTAGGTGGTGACATAAGCACAGGTTTGCTTTAATTTTGTTATAGGGCTAAAACTATGCAAAAGAGGAGCTTAGCATGAAAACTGAGCCAAGTCTGTGAATAGGAGGAAGGCAACTGTCCATTTCTCTGTAAGTGACTTCTCTGAAGCTCATTTAGATGGACTAGTTACCTCATTTGGTGGTGTGTTTGCATTATCCCAATTTGGAGGCCAATGTTTATTTTGCATCATCACAGGAAACCTAGGGAACAAGTTTGCACACATCTCAGTGGCAGTTTTCCAAGAACCCTTTATACTCATGATCTGGAATGGGGAGACCACCCACTCTTATCACTTCTTGGGAAGGCATGGAAATCAGTATTATTTTTCTAAACTACTGCTTGTATCCCTCAAGTAATGAGCAAACTCAGGTGCCATTGTCTGATTTTGCCCTTTACACAAAGAAACTTATCTCAATGATTTTAGAATCCACTTTATGCACAAAGGGCTCACACTACTACTTCATATGTCAAATGACAAAATATAATCAAGTTCCTGGTTTATTCTAGGTAAATTATTCATGCAGCATACAAGTAGACATTGATTGAACAGTTAGAATTTATATAGCCCCACCTTACTAATACTTGAGTACCCAGCAGTTCTTAAGATTAAAATAATTCTCTCTTACTAAAATGCATGGAATGGATGTAGAAATAGAAAACAATTATAAGCTGATCATGTCTTTGAGAGAAGACATATTCCATGAATATAGGAGAGCAGGTACCCTATGAACATGAAAATGGTCCAACTCTGTTCACTTAAAGTAAAGGACAAAATAGACAGAGGACAGTAGAGTTGTGCCACTCAACCATCACTGGCATCTAAAAGCTGCAGAGAGAAAGCAGATGCTCTTTAAAATGTGTGATGGCAGGAGAATCATGAACTTTCAGAAATGACCCCACAAAAAAAACCCCAACAACTAAAAAACAAAACAAAGAAACCATTTTTTAACATGGAATGTAGGAAGGGTGACTTCTCACTATGCTCTGAATATATCACGGCAGCAGATGGTTTAGACTGAGTCTAAAGAAGTATACTAGCCTACAGCAAAGTCTGTGGATACATTTTCTTGCTTAGTGATTGATGTGGGAGAATCCAGACTATTGTAGGTGGTGCCACCTCTGGCTGCCAGTCTTGGGTTATTCAAGAAAGCAGAGAGAGCAATCCGTGGAGAGCAAGCCAGTAAGTAGTATCCCTTTATGGCCTCTCCTTCAGTTCATGCTTCCAAGTCCCTGCCCTGCTTGAGCTCCTGCCTTGAATTCTGTCAATGAGGAACTGACATGTAAGCCAAATAGAGACATACCTCTCCAAAAAATTTTAGATTTGTGAATCTTTTACTATTTTTATGACAATACCTTTTGAGACAAATAATATACTGATTGATCCTTTCTTTTTAACAGCAAAAATACATCCTTCCAGTTAAAGAACTTTTGAGAAAAACATCTTATTTTCTAACACTTTATTCATCTATAAGAAGTTTCTTAGACAGGAGTTTATGTGTGTACTAGGAAATACTCTGTTTAATACCTATAATATGTAAAATGTTTAGCTATGAATTGGGGGACGGGGGAGCATACTTTTTTTACTTATATTCATTGTGATCATTCACTTGAAAAATATAATGTATTCTCATTGTATTTTTTATGTTGCCTGAAAGATTTTGCTAGGACATATAAGTTGTAGGGGGAGAGAGGTAGGAAGAAGGGAGGAGTCAGAAGGAAGACATGAGGAAAGAGATAGAGGGGAAACAACAGGAAAGAGGTAAGGGAAGAATAGGAGAGACCTTGACATGTTGAAGATGTGTGTGGGTGTGTGCTTTTCCCTATTTCTCTGGCCTCATAGAATTAAGTTTTACTCCCTCAGATAAAAAGTCGGGATATTTTATGTTGGGAAAAATCTATTTTCAATAAAAGAAAAAAAGGAAACAGAATGAACTGAGACGTTGTTTGTGATGCTATAGTTTATCCATGTATGAGTGTATTTTGATGCTAGTTTAAAACCTGATATTCTATTTAAGTTGTGTCATATTACAATCTTGTGTTACTTATAGCTAATGAAAAATGTGTTGATTGCACATATCTGTTCCTTGTATTGATTGCCTGCATAATGCTAGTCAACAGATATTCTATTATAATGAATGACTCATTGTCCTAAATATGCTCATCAAGTATGATTTACTAGTCTGATTTATTTTTCTTTTTAGGATAATAAAATAATCTTAATGTATTTAACCCTATTCTTTTTCAATCTCTCACACCAACCACAGACAAACATTACTTCTCAAAGCATCTCCCCTTTTTAATTTATTAATACACATTTTGTAATATGTCCCCTACAAAAGACCTGCCCTATCCTGGGATGCCATTTTAGCTCCTTACATGTAGGTGTAGTCGAAGTTAAACAGAAAAATGAAAAAATTTGATGATATGATTTAGAAACGAGTGAGTAATATTCCACTTATCATTCTGGGACTGGACTGACTCAGTCAATATAATTTTTCCAGTTTTATCAATTTTCTCTAAACTTTCAAAATTTCATATTTCTTTATATCTGAACAAAATTCCATTGCACAAATGTACAACATTTTTTATCCATTCATCTTGTTGTGAACATCTACATTCATTTCATTTCCTAGCTATTGTGAATACACCAGCTGTGGGGATCTGAAAGTGTCCTGCTCATTCATTTTCCACCTATTCTAGGGTTCTTAGGAGGAGGAGAGAGGTATTATAAAATATTAGATGGAAAGAGAGATCTAGTCTATAAGAGGAAAGACAGAAACACAGGATAGCTTCAGGAGGGACTGGATCCATACCCAACAACCTTGAGGTTTATTCAAAAGGCTTTTTATAACATTCCAATTGGAGGAAGAAAAGACCTGTATTTTCAAGATAAAAGCACAACACACAGAAAAGTGTAGACCCTTTCACACACCTGGTAAGCATTCCTGTGTCGAAATCATCCCATTATGCAGCCCTGCTGGGTAAAGCAAGGTGAAATTTTCTGACCCTGAAAATTTGGGCCTCCACACCAGCAAAATGTGTGGATGTGCATTTATACTGTTATAGGCTATACAGTCCTTTAGGTACACCCACAGGAAAGGCATAGCTAGGTCATGTGGTATTTGTAGCTGTCTGAGGAAATTGCACATTGGTTTCTATAGTTACTGCACTCCCACAACACTGAATCAGGGTTCCCATTTCCTCCTACTTTCTTCCTGTAGAACCATGATAGTCTGTTTGGTGGATATTGAGGACTTTCAAAAAGCCGACACATGCTTTGTACATAAAAAATATGCTTTTGCTTGATTCCATAGTCCCAGTGAAAGGAAAACTTCTTTCTTCAAATGAACCCGATGAAATTTGCTCTCCTGATTTAAACTGCATCAGAATTGTTGCCTTTTACATAGCATGAAAAGTCATGTACTAGGTAGGTGATTTGTTTGAACATTTCATAAATGTTTCCCCATAACCCTCTTTCACTCTTGGTGGTAAAGCATACAAGAAACAATATTCAGAGCTTATCTGGACAGTGCTAAACAAATATGTTGATATCCTGATCTTTGAAATTCTTCTCAACTGTGGCAAATTGTGAACTTTAATAACGTTTTCATTCTACCCTCTGGAGAAATACGTCTTCCTATGACATCCAGACTTTCTATATTTTTGTCCATGATATCTCATTAATGTAATTTCTCTTTAGTATTATATGTTGTGATGCTTCATGGACTGTTTAGACAGTGAAATGGAATCAGCCCATATTGGAAGAAACATCAAGGAAAACAACATAACCCTGAACTAAGACGATGGTTAAGAGATGTTCTTAATTTCAAACTACTGAGTGTATCTCTGACAGTTTCTTAGACTGTGCTAATTTTGCATCTATGTATGTGAGATACATGCACAAGTCTCTTTCAAATCTCAACATCTCATCAGGTAACCAGAAGGGGGAGATAGACTCCCCAAAAGCACAAGAGCTTGCCCTCCTGAGCAGTTCTTTATTGGGACATATATGAAGTCAGTATCATTTGCATAAGTGCTTCTTCTTTCTATGTGCTTGCCTCTTAGAATATTATAAAAGGTCTTTCTTGGGCTGTGCCATGACACACATAAACACAGAGAAAGCTGGAAGATGGTGTCCACATCTCAGGTCCTTGGGCTTCTGTTCGTCTGGGTTTCAGGTATGAGATTTTAGACACTGTAAAAAGTGAAGATGACAATTACATACAGAATTTTCTTACATCATTAGGAAGCACAGCCTCACATGGAATTTGACTTCCTCTTAAAGAAATTGATATAATAAAATAATCTTTTTTTTTTTTTCCGTTTTTCGAGACAGGGTTTCTCTGTGTAGCTTTGCGCCTTTCCTGGGACGCGCTTGGTAGCCCAGGCTGGCCTCGAACTCACAGAAATCCACCTGGCTCTGCCTCCCGAGTGCTGAGTTTAAAGGCATGCGCTACCACCGCCCGGCCAAAATAATCTTTTTAAAAGTAGTTTAGAAATGATTTTCATATGCAATGTTGTGATCTACTAATATTTATCCTATGTTTTCAGCCTCCAGAGGTGACATTGTGCTGACTCAGTCTCCAGCCACCCTGTCTGTGACTCCAGGAGAAAGAGTCACCATGACCTGCAAGGCCAGCCAGGGTATTAGCAATTACTTACACTGGTATCAGCAAAAACCAAATGAGGCTCCAAGGCTTCTCATCAAGTATGCTTCCCAGTCAGTCTCTGGGATCCCCTCCAGGTTCAGTGGCAGTGGGTCAGGGACAGATTTCACCCTCAGCATCAACACTGTGGAGCCTGAAGATGTTGCAACTTATTACTGTCAACAGAGTAGCAGCTGGCCTGCCACAGTGATACAGACCATAGCAAAAACTACCAGGAAAGCAGAAGTGTGAGTCTGAGCTACTTCAGCTGCTTCTGGTGGTGCCTGAACTTTCTTCAAAGTATTTTACAGATGCAGACACGTAGCATGAATCTTAAAGAGTCTTATTAATAAAACCAATCCTAAGGCCAGTTATTGAGGTGCATGCTGGAATATCAGAGAGACAGAACAAGCCAAAGCTACCTCACCTTGCCATTTCCTCAGCTGATCCTGTTTCCTCAGACTGGAAACCTCTGAGTGCTCATCCAGAATGAATCTCAGCTGAACTGCTGCTAGAAGCCTGAAAGCTTAACCAGCCAAAATGCTTCTAGTTTCTGGTCCTCACGCCTTATATATCTTTCTGCTTTCTACCATCACTCCCTGGGATTAAAGGCTCACTTTCTGGGATTAAAGGCATGAGTCACCATGCTTGGCTGTGTACTTGAACACATGGATTTCTGCCTCTGGAATGCTAGGTTTAAAGGCGTGTGCTACCACTGCCCATCCTCTATGTTTAATATTGTGGCTGTTCTGTCTCTGACCCCAGATAAGTTTATTAAGGTGCACAATATTTTGGGGAACACAATACCACCACACAGACAGCCTTGAGATTTACACAGACAATTGAAGTGAAGAGGCCTAGAAAGTTTTCTTGCCTCTGACCTCTCTTCACTCCATTTTAGCTCCATAACACATACATAATTTAGTGTTATATTTTTCCTGTATTCATTTACTTTAGCTCTCAGTGAATTTGTCAGGAGAGTTAAGAACCAACTTCCTTACACAATTGTCAAAATTAACACAAAAATTGTTAATTATGGTTAAATATGGTTCACAATATTAATTATCTGACAGTGATTCATTAATGCTTGATTGGCCATAGAAATATAGTTTGGAATATATTTAATCTGTTCTTTAAATTTCATTATTATCAAGAATATATAGATATACACATATCAAATTTTCCTTAAATGACTACTATCCTGTTCATTGTGGTTCATCTACAGAATTTTTCAAAATGAAATATTGATAATTTTATTTATGCTTCCAATTTTTCTCATGCAGCCTACCCTTTTTCTAACTCCTACCAAATCTGCTACTCATCCCTCACCCCTCTCGCACTTCATCTCCACATATAAATATACCTTGCACACTGAGTTCATTGTGGTTAGATGATATATTCATGGATATAGGACCATCCACTGGAGGGAGCATATTCAGGTTATTAGAGACAGCACTCTTAGAGAAAATCTCTCTCTCACCCTTAGAAGTCATCAACTATCAATAATAGCTTCTCAGCTAATGGAGGACTGATGAGCTCCTCCCCCTCCATGCTTCAGTGTTGATTGACTTAATTTTGTGCAGGTCCTATCCAGACAGCCACAGCTCCTGTGAGTTCATCAAAGAAGGAGCTCTGAGATGTGCATAGACTCTGTTTTGTTCCGTTTCTTCCTAAGCTTTGGATCTTACAGTGTTTCTACCCCTTTTCTATGATGGTCCCTGAACCTTAGACAACTTTTTGACTCTGTAAGCTTTTGTGTTCTATAGGAACCTTATTTGAATTTTCAATCTACTTTTTAAAAATTTAAGTCTGTTGTTAATATCAGCTTCCCAAAAGAGGAGACAGGACAAGGGTATAGCTTAGGGCTCTAAACACAACACAGGGCCTCAGTCTCAATTCTGTGCTTCCTGATGTTCTTCATCACTGAGAAGAATAGGAAAAAAATGATTCCCTGAGTTTCCTTCTCATAGAAGGTGACAGAGAGATCTCAGGGCTTTTCTTCCTACGACCCATGTACCTAAGAGATCTGTTTTCCAGGAAAACTGATGCTTAGCACACACACTTTCTTTGAAAACCATCTTGTGAATATACCTGTATAGCTTAAATAATTTGTTTTTATATTGGTTTTTTCCTTTTTACTGAATTCTTAACCAACAAAGTGTTATAATGTAGTTTCAAGGTATTGTGATTATTCACATTTGGGACAGAATCATGATCAACTGCCAAACTAGTTTCATGAGAAACCAGGTTTCCTGTTAAAAAGAGATCTCAAGCCAATCTCCTAAAGTCCTGGAATACATTTCAATCATGACTTCAGAGATAAGGTAGTGAGATTTTACCCAAATGATGGAGTAACTCATGTTATATAATATTTTGTTTGTGTTCTGACAAATAAAGCTTGCCTGGAGATGAGAGGCCCTGTGACTTCTAGATAAGGAAAGAAACCATGTAGTGGTAGCACACACCTTTACTCCCAGCACTTGGGAGGAAGAAGAAGATCAGGAGTACACGGCCACCCTGGGCTACCTGGGATTGATCCAGTCTAAAAGAGAAACAGAGACAGGTGATGGTGGTGTGTGCCTTTAATCCCAGCACTAAGGAGGAGGAGACAGGAATATAAGCCAGGTGGAGACAGGATCTCAGCCCCATTCAGTCTGAGGGTTCATAGAGGTAAGAAGTTTGTGACAGTTGCTTTGCTTTTCTGATCTTTCAGCTTTTACGCTAATATTTTATTTCAGGATTTTATTTAATAAGACTAATTAGGATCATAACTCAAAACGTCACTATGTGCCAGGCCAACACTGAATTGTTATGCATGCCAGACTGTACCAGATAAAGCCATTTTTCCCAGAGTGCTAGTGTCAGCAGCACTCCTGGTGTGAACTGGGACTGAGTCCACATGAATATATGCTTTCCTAGGGTCTGTTTTGTCAACCTTCAAGCTCTTCTGCTGCTTTGACATTAGGTGGTAGCATAAGCACAGCTTTGCTTTAATTTTCTTATAGAGCTAAAACTATGCAAAAGAGGAGCTTAGCATGAAAATTGTGTCAAGTCTTTGAATGGGAGGAAAGCAACTCTTCTATAACTGTAAGTGACTTCTCAGAAATGCATTTAGGTGGACTGGTTACCTCATTTGTTGGACCATTTGTATTATCCAATTTGGAGGCCAATGTTTATTATGCATCATCACAGGAAATCTATGGAACAAGGCTGCACATACCTCAGTAACAGTTTTCCAAGAATTTTTTACACTCATGATCTGGAATGTGGAGACCACCCACTCCTGTCACTTCTAGGGAAGGCATGGACACCTATAGCTAGAGTTTACTACATTGCTGTCCGGCCCGCTGTTACTCAGACCCAAATGAACACCCAGATGCTTACATTAATTAAAACTGTATGGCCTAATGGCTCAGGCTTCTTGCTAACTAGATCTTACATCTTAAATTAACCCATTTCTACAAATCTATACCTTGCCACATGACTCATGTCCTACCGATAGCTTTACATCTTTCTTCCTCTGTGTCTGTCTGGGGACTCCTGACTCAGCCTTCCTGTCCCCAGAATTCTCTTCTCTGCTTGTCCAGCCTATACTTCCTGCCTGGCTACTGGCCAATCAGATTTTATTTTTTAACCAATCAGAGCAACACATTCACAGCATACAGAGCGATATTCACAGCACTTCTCTTTTCCTTTTTTTTCCCAAAAGGATTGTTTTAACTTTAACATAGTAAAACTACATATAAAAAAACAATTATCAAGCAAGAATTACAGTTATAATATCTAGTCTATTTGTATTTGGTAAAATTAAAGAAGTTATCTTATCTAGCCTATATTTGCCAGTCTAAGATTTCATATCTAATTTATCTTTTATCATAACTAAGGAAATTATAACTATCTATTCTTCAACTACATCAAAGACTCCAGAAGGATATAATATTACCTAGGTAAACAGGAAGTGTATTATAAGCAACTTCCAAAAATCTAGAATGACAGAGACAGCTGGTTGCCTGGGCAGTCATCCAAAGTTCCTCTATAAAGTTGGGGCATCTGTCTTCAACCTACAGGCCTAGAGCCTATCAGTCACTTTTCTCTGTGTCCTGTAGAATGTCTAGCAGTTTCTTTGCAAAGCAGGAACCTGAAGGACCATTTTGTCTTGCAAAGTTCAGTGTTCACCTTTCTATGGGTCCTGCATGTCCAGTTGATGCAACATTTTGTCCATCAATCCAGGCAAGAACAGTTGTTTGCCCAAATAGCTATTTTTGCCATGGAGAAGATAAACTCCATATAGAGTGTCTTCAATGCCCATCTTCCTCTTGAAGAAAATCGGTGCTACCAGGAGCAGACATGCAGAAAATCTAAGTTTTTAAAACATTTTAAATGCCATATTCTGTAGGTCTTTGAAGTGTTTGAAGATTACCTACCTAATTGAATTATATCTATGTATACCTAGAAAACTTAACGTAACTATAAGTTTGAGTATCATAGAAGACTAATATTAATCTGTATTTCTAATTATCCAAAAATCTAAATGAGTTACAAAAACAATACCTCAAATGAGAGTAGAAATATATATATATATATATATATATATATATATATATATATATATATATATATAGTATAACAAAATTAAGTTTAAAGTTGTATCAATAAACTAAAATCCATAGCAATGTAAACATTTCTAAACAAGTAGTTGCTCTTTAAAAGTAGGTTCATTAATCTACCCTTTCATCCTATCCTGTCTATACTATCCCTTTTTCTGTTTTAGAAAGGGATTGCATTTATAATTAACCTTCTTTAAATAAAAATAAACATTCATAAACAATATTTTGGGAATTTGGGTGTAGCTTCTCATACTACTTCCTGCTGGATGAGGGCACTATATTCTTATGGGGATCCTGAGAAAAATAAGAATTATGGTCAAGTCCTGACTGGAGTAGCCTGTGAGGCTGCAATGTTTGAGCCAGTTGCCTTGAAACCGTTCTGGATGTTGGATCATCTAGGCCTTGTTGTCATTGGAGACCTGTCAGGAGGTCTTGGCTGGTCAAACCTGATGTGTCTTAATCTGGAACAAATCCATAGCCTCTTGCTTTCTGTGGAAACAAAAGTAGAGCCTCCTTTCCAAAGCAACATATCTTTAGATCCAAAATTTGAAGTCAAAATATCTTTAAAATATACATATTTGTTTTACTGAGCAGCCTTTACAATCAAATGTCTTTCTGCACTTAAAAATATCAAAGACAACACAATCCAGATTCTCTGTGTGATATCCATCTTTATGTGGCTTATTTTTTATATTACTTTGACTTTCTCTTTAAAGACTTTATTTTTTAAAACTATTTCTTTATATAATTGCATATATTACTTTTTTCCTCTCTTCCAAGCCTATGTACATTTTTATGCACATTGTAAACCATTTAGAGGTTTATCCCATCTGAATCTGTCTCATTGTGGAAATACTGCTTTAAACTGTAGCATTTTCCACCCACCTCAGCTTCTTAACATGGTGGAACTACATTCACCACCAGTTTTGGGGAACCATGCTCACCACTCACTCTTGGAAGCAGTGATCTATGCTTCTATCAAAGCAGCATGTAGTCCAGAAACCTTTTTTTTCTCTTTTCTTTTTTTTAGTAGCAAAACCTATATCCACAGTGCACCATGCTGTTTAGCTTGTAGAAACATCTGTATAACTTGGAGGGAATGTGCCATGGTGTAGCTTCAGTCCATATGCTGCAAACCCACCATAGAGTAGCTCAAGCCTGCATGTTGCCGTGTCTCGCTGCCCACATGCGACATTGGGCAGGAACCTATTTTTGGCTTTGTTTAGAATTGCTTATTAAGTATTCCCAGGTTTCAGGTGGAAACTCCAGCCATTGAGCACAATTTGTAGCTAAAATTTTTCTATGTCTACCCGGCTCCTGCAGCCGCTGAGACACAAGTAAACACACAGAGACTTATATTACTTATAAACTGTATGGCTATGG